GCCGGGGGAATGGAACCATGTTGACCGCCAATTTCCTGAGATCGGCGTTAAGCTGCCCAGGGAATCGCAGACAGGTGGTTACACCAGACATGGTGGCGCTCACCAGATGGTTCAAGTCGCCGTACGTGGGGGTGGTAAGCTTGAGAGTACGGAAGCAGATGTCGTAAAGAGCCTCGTTGTCAATGCAGTAGGTTTCGTCTGTATTTTCGACGAGCTGGTGGACTGATAAGGTTGCGTTGTAGGGTTCTACGACGGTATCGGAGACCTAACAGGAGTAAGCGCCGAATGTGAACATACCTTAGGGGAGGGGACGACAGAGAAGGTGTTCATAATTCTGTCTGGGTATTCCTCGCGGATCTTAGATATTAAGAGAGTCCCCATACCAGATCCGGTGCCACCACCAAGAGAGTGGGTGAGCTGGAAACCCTGAAGGCAGTCACAGGACTCTGATTCTTTTCGGACAACGTCAAGGACTGAGTCAACGAGCTCGGCGCCCTCTGTGTAATGGCCCTTAGCCCAGTTATTTCCCGCGCCACTCTGGCCAAAAACAAAGTTGTCTGGGCGGAAAAGTTGCCCAAAGGGACCGGCCCTGACTGAGTCCATTGTGCCGGGCTCGAGATCAACGAGAACGGCACGGGGGACATACTTGCCACCGGTAGCCTCGTTATAGTAAACGTTGATGCGCTCTAGTTGTAGGTCAGAGTCGCCATGGTAAGTTCCGGTAGGGTCAATTCCGTGTTCATCAGATATGACTTCCCAGAACTAAAGAAATAAGTAAAGAAATAATAAATCGGGTTACCTTAGCGCCTATTTGGTTTCCGCATTGACCAGCCTGGATGTGGACGATCTCACGCATGACGATAGGAGGGAGTGGCAGAGAGAGCGAGAAAATGCGCCAGGGCGGGTGAACAAGGTATTTATAGTCCAGACGAATAGGCAGTGGCGTTGCTATAACTCACCTAGCAACAGATCCGTGATATAGTAACTGCTTTAGTAATCTCTTGTTTTCTCAACAATTACTTAATATTACTTTATTATTTTAAAATCTGACATTAAGAATTAAAATTAAAATCAAAATATTGAAAGAAAATAATCGTTAATTTTAGGTTTATTAGTTGTTGCAACAAGGGTAGCTATAGTTGAAAGCGTCATTTTATGGAGCGCAATTCAAATTGTGAATCGTCTTGTCCTAGCAATTATGCTATGGTCTTAGTTATTTGAGCTAATGGTCTATTTCGGGGCTCATTATTTTAACATTAAATTCATTTATATGAGTTTATTTATTTAAAAATAAACTAGATGCCTTACGCTTGCCTTTATTTAACTTTGCTTAATTGATAAAGTACTATTTACCACTTGGTGGTTTTGCTCCTTTAATAAGGGTATTTAAAATTTTTGCTTCTATGTACCCAATTTTAAACATACATTTTTATTATTTATTGATATCGCTGGCACAGAGTATAGATAAACTTTATTTCAAATTAGTTAACCGATTTTCTTGCTTCTCCTTCCCACTTCTGCTTTGTTTGAATC